CCAACCCAACATCCACACGTTGCTCTTTGTTGGTGGCTGGGCAATGATTAGAGAAGGCAACAAGGAGAAATTAAAGGGTGTTCTAGTGGTTACCAAAACTCTGGGAATCTCATAAATTTATATCTGTCTTATAGACATTTTTCTCTCCCCAATCCTGCCCTCTCTCCCTTATCCTTATCACTACAGAGGCAAAAAGGAAGTACAATCTTGCCCACTCCCACTCATAACCTAGGTTCTCCTTCACTGACACGTCTTTCCCTGAAATCTGTTTTTGATGCCCTGTAAACACCCCAGAAATTCTGACTATCATCCCAGCTTCCTAATAGGAATGTAGACACAACTCCTACCTGAGGCAGGAATCTCTTCTCAACAACATGGCGGAGTCTCATGGTCAAATGAAATCACCTCGGGCCCTTTATGCTTGTAGGTTCTGATTTCAGGCAGAACTTAAGAGAATGATCAGACTCAGGGAAAGTGGTTTATAGCAGCAGACTCAAAGGCCATGTACGAGTACAGGAATGCCATGTCGTTGTGCCATTGTCATTGCTGCAAGGAATGGCCCTGTCCACATCCAATAAGTACTAGATGTGATCGGTAAGAGGCTAAGGCCCAAGGGGATTGCCCCTCATGGGCCAAGCATGACATTCTCCTACATGTCGGGGAAGAAAATCAGGAGAATGAAGACTAAAAGCAAAGGGAGTGTGTGATCCCAAGGACCTTTTCCATCACAATATGATGGAATTTCCGTCACAGTATGGTGGACACTGAGGGACCTTTCTTTTCTAAGAGAATTAGAGCCACATATTAAAGATATAGAGAGAAACCTTTACCCCTCAGCACCTCCTTAAATTTCCCCCCGGATTCTTTGAACACTGTATGATATGGTTAAGCTTGTAGAGGTGTGGGCAAGATCACAGACTTTGGAATCAGATCCCTGCATTCTCATGCCAAGTCCCCCTCCATTCTCATGGGCTGAGTCATGTGGAACAAGTCCCTTAGCTCCTCAGGGTCTTAGCTTTCTCATTTGCGAAATGGAAGAAACATCGGTAGGAACTCTGATGGTGGGGTGAGGATCTGTGATGGTGATCAATAAATATTAGCCGACATTATGACACTGGCTATTATTGTCTCATTTGTTCAACAAACTGAAGAATCGTATCTTCTTTTCTAGATATATTTTTATTATAAACTTTCGCCAATGAACAATCCAAAAAGGAAACTAAGAAAACAATTCCGCTTATAATAACATCAACAAGAATAAAATACCTAGGATTAAATTTAACCAAGGAAGTGAACAAATCATATATCGAAAACAATAAACATTGCCGAGAAAAATTAAAGGACTAATTAAATAGAAAGACATCCAATGTTCATGGATTGAAAGACATATAGTGTTAAGATGCCAATACTCTTCAAAGCCATCTACAGAGTCAATGCCATCTCTATCAAAATTCCAAAGGCCATTTTTGCTGATCTGGAAAAGCCAATTCTAAAATTTATGTGGAATTGCATGGAGCTCCAAACAGCCCAAAGAACATTGAAAAAGAAAAACAAAGTTGGAGGACTCATACTTCTCGGTTGCAAAACTTACTACAAAGCTGGGGCTGGCCAGGTGGTGCGGTGGTTAAGTTCACACATTCTGCTGTGGTGGCCTGGGATTCACCGTTTCGGATCCCAGGTGTGAACCTACACACCACATGTCAAGCCATGATGTGGTAGGCATCCCACGTATAAAGTAGAGGAAGATGGGCACAGATGTTAGCTCAAGGCCAGTCTTCCTCAGCAAAAAGGAGGAGGATTGGCGGCTGATGTTAGCTCAGGGCTAAGCTTACTGAAAAAAAAACTTACTACAAAGCTATAGCAGTCAAAAATAGAGTGGTACTGCATAAGGATATACATATAGACCAATGGAATAGAATTGAGAAGCCAGAAATAAACCCGAACATCTATGGCCAATTAATTTCTGACAAGGGTGCCAAGACCATTCAGTGGAGAAAGAGTAATATCTTCAATAAGTGGTGCTGGTACAACCTGATACCTACATGAAAAGAATGTAGTTCGATCGCTACCTAACACCATACACAATAATTCATTCCAAATGGATAAACAGCCTAAATATCAGAGCTTAAATCATTAAACTCTTAGAAGAAAATATAGAGTACATCTTCATGACCTCTGATGTGGCACTGGATTCTTAAATTTGACACCAAAAGGACAAGCAACAAAAGATAAAATCGATAAATTGGATTTCATAAAAATTAAAAAGTTTCGTGTACTAAAGATAGTATCAAGAGAGTGAAAAGTCAATCTACAGAATGGGAGAAAATACTTACAAATCATATATCTGATAAGGGTTGAGTATCCAGAATATATAAAGAATTCTTACAACTCAACAACAAAAAGACAAACAACTCAATTAAGAAATGGGCAAGGACTTGAACCAACATTTTCCCAAGATATACAAATGACCAGCACTCAGAGAAAAGGTACAAACACCATTAGTTGTTAAGGAAATGTAAATCAAAAGTGCAATGAGATGTCACTTCATAACAACCAGAAAGGCTATAATCAAAAAGAAGGAAAGAAAGAAAATCACAAATGATGGCAAAGATGTGGACAAATGGGAAGCCTTGTACATTGCTGGTGGGAATGTAAAATGGTGCAACCACTGAGCTAAAAAGTTTGGTGGTTCCTCAAAAATGTAAACATAGGATTACCATATGACCTAGAAGCTCTACTCCTAGGTGTGTATCCAACAGAAATGAAAACATATGATCCACACAGAAATGTCTACACAAATATTTATAGCAGCATTAGTCATAATAGCCAAAAGGTGGGAAAAACCCAAATGTCTACCCACAGATAAATGGATAAATTGTAGTATAAGTATACAAAGTAATATTGTTTACCTTTAAAAAGAATGAATATTGATACATGCCACAGCTTGGATGGACCTCAAAATCATTATGCTAAGTGAAAGAAGCCAGATACAACAGGTCAAATACCGCTTGATTCCTTTTATATGAAGTATCAAGAACATGTAAATCCATAGAGACAGAAAGAAGATTATAGGCTGCCAGGGAGCGGGGCCGGGGGTGAGAGAGGGAGGAGGGAAAGTGATTCGGTACTCACTGTGCTGTGGAGCCACAGCTTACCGGGTACGGTTGGTTGTTATTCTGGGTGTTAAAAAAAGTTTCAAAAGTAGGGAGAGGTGGTAGTTGCACAATATTTTGAATGCACTAAATGCCACTGAGTTGTACTTTAAAATAGTTAACTGTATGTGATGTGAATTATTTTTAATTAATGGTCATAGAGTTATGTTTAGCATAACTCCCTTTTAATTTTGAAAAATGCAGATATACACGAGAGAAAAATGTTAGACCATACTTGAACACATTAAAGATGGTTGTCAATGAGTGATGGGAAATCAGGTAATGAAAATTGTTTCCTCTTCACTTAAATTATTTCAAAAATTTTCTAACAATGTTAGGAAATAGTTGCATGCTGAATTCTTTAGTATCTGGGAAAGAAATACTATAGTGATATTGACTAACAGATTTTCAAGAGCATGAGGAACATGCTTAAATTGTAGAGTTAAATGAGGACAAAAGAAAACTGTACTGTGTATATAACATGATGGCAAGTATTTCAAATGCACTGCTCATGGTAACAGGCTCTCTGTTGGTGAGAGGAAAAGGAGTGGCATTTTCCCTTTCTGCTTTCCAAATTTTCTTAACAAATATTTATTACCATTATAATCAGAGAAGTGATTTTATTTTTAAAATGTCTACTACTGGGTAAGCTAGGTGCAAAAAGGTAGAGGTTTGATAAATGTACTTGGTTTGATAAACAGAATATTTACACTGGAATCATGGATTTTGATACGGAATATTCCTCATTAAAAAAAATTGTAAAATACAGAAAATGTACAGAGGGAAACTTAAATCACCAGGCCCTAACCTCTCAGATATGCTTAGTTGTTCTCTGAACAGGATTGGGCTTGGGCTGTTTAGAAACAACAGTCCTTCACTTCCATCATAGCGAGATCATCAGCAGAGTTTGTTGAGCAAATGTGAGTCTATGATGTGCCAGACCGGCTCCATCAGAAGTGTGCCTCTCTAGTCGGAGAACAGAGAATCCTGAAAGGATAATTACTGGTCTTTGGTTGCCTGGTAAGCTTTCTCACTTCACAAGGTATCAGCAATGCAGTCATCTAAGCTTCCTCTGGGGACTCAGCCCTTTCCCAGTCTTAGTCCATGTGGTTTGGGTGGGACTGACTCCAGCCTACCCAAAGGAAATTGACCTAGGCTTGAGTCAATCAGTGGGTTCACTTCCTAGGGTCATAGCGATTTGTTAATTTAGGCCAATAAAGGTCAAGTGAAGGACTTTTGTTAAAAACATGGCCAAGAGAGACGGACTGTATCACTCTGAGGCTTTGTAACTTAAAAAGAGATGTTAAAATTCCCTAGGAAGGAAGCTGTGATGATGAATGGGTTGCTATATGGATTTGGTAGATGGTGGCCATGCTTTCTTCTCATCTTGTGCATCCCTCTGCTATAGCCCTTCCCATGCTGTGCTCTGCTCACTGATGCTTCTGTCTCCTCCACCAGACAGACAGCTCACTAAGAGAAGGAGACACATCTCCACTATGTTTGGTCATGGCACAGAGAAGGGCCCAAACACACATCTGCTGAAGAAATCATCCTGATGGACTTAGCAACATGGAAATGAGGTATTGGTGGTTCCAACACTGGGGACTCAGGTTTCTGGGGCTCCAATACCTCTACTTGTCGATACCACAGCACACAGTCTCCACTATGTACCCTTGGGTTCCTTCTCTAGGCTGGAACAAGTGGTCCGCCCTGAGTCATCCACTGTTTGTTCCGACGTGACCACTGCATGATTCTCACATAACCACCCAGAGGATGTCATCAGGCAGAAGGAGTGGGGGCGGGGAAGCTTTCATAGATGGCCATCTAAGATGAAGCACCACACAACCACAGGGGGACTTGAGGTCACTGATCCCATCTGTACCTCCTTCCTCTCCTCAGGGCTAAAAGAAAGCAAGGAGGAAGCACCAGCCTCCCCAAACTGGGCAACCTTCCTGGAAAGATGCAGCCTCTCCTGCTCCTGCTGGCCTTTTTACTGTCCCCTGGGGCAGAGGCAGGTGAGTGACCATCCCCGCCCTCAGATGCCAACCCCTCCCCCCAAACACAGTGGGCACAGATCTCCTGCCCCTTCTGCACATCCCTGATCCATCTATCATTCTGAATGCCAGCTCGTGTCCCACCTCAGAATCCCAAGTGTGACGCTGGATAAGCTACCAGCAGAAATGGCAGGGCAGGAGGCTGTTCTCAAGAACAGCAAGTGGGTGCTATTCCCTCCCTAGGCCCTACGTTTGCCATCTGCAAAGTGGAACTTAACTGGAAGTGGATGGCAGGGGGAGGGAAACTGGAAAAGAGAAAATAATCAATTCCCCTGCAGAGGGCAGAGTGGGCCTGGCTTCCAGGTTTGGGATGACACAGATGCTCCTCTCAGTGTCTGCTTAGGAGAGAAGTCTAGAGCTCTGCAGACCCCGGAGTTGGTGGAACCACTGTCCCCAGAGGACTGCTGGTGTCTTGCTCAATCCCAAGGCCCCTCAGTCCCTTCTCCAACTCTGCTTTTCCTCCCAGGCCTTTAGCAGCTCCCTTCTTTCCAGGATGGAGCAACTGTTTGCAGACCTGAACTTCTCTGCTTTCCAGAATCCCACAAGCACTGGCCCTACAAACTCTCCTTCAGGCCCATCGGGGGCCATTCCTTCATGCAGCCAACAAACAGCTTTTGGGCAGCCACTATGTGTCAGGCCATGGGAAACAGGCTATGACAACATCTAGATCCCTAAACCTAAGTCCTGGCCACTGGAAAGCAGCATCATCCCAGACATCACAAGGCTACAGTGCCTTATACAGGCTCTTGAAACAAAGCAAAGTCAGGAGAGGAATTCTCAGGAGCCTCTAGACCTTACTGTCTCTAGGACGCATATGCTCACCTCCAATTATCTGTGGAGGACACATTCACAGGCCAAGCCTGCTCCTCCTCCTTTTTCTAGAGGGAAAGCCCCACCCAAGCCCCTCTCAACTCCAGGCCATCTCTGGCTCCCAGATGCCCAGCAGTCCTGAGCATCAAGGTGACGCATGCCCGGTGGACTGGCTGGGTGCGCACAAGTAGATAAGACTTTTCCTTCAGGGGAGATCATCGGGCGACATAAGGCCAGGCCCCACTCTTGTCCCTACATGGCATTCGTTCAATTTCTGGTTGAAGAGAAAAATCACAGGTGTGGCGGTGTCCTCGTGCGACAGGACATTGTTCTGACGGCTGCTCACTGCTGGGGAAGGTGAGGGGCCAAAGACCATTAACACCTCCTGAGACCCCTACAGGGACCCCTGTTTCTGCCCAGGGTCTGCAGGCCAGGACAGCCCCCCCAGCTCCTGGTAACTCAAGGCCATGAGAGCTCATGAGAGGAGCCATCTGAGACCATGACTGGTGACTGAAAGTGAGAAATAGGACAGGCAAGCCTTGGGGTCAAAGAGTCAGAGGTGAGAGCTAGTGGCCCAGCTGAGAAGAGAGACCACACTGGCCAAATGAAGCAGCTGTGGAGGATGAAACCATGCACTAGGGTCAAAAGGCAAACTCAGAGTCCTTTCACAATATTGCCTGAGGGCTGACAAAACTCCCAGAATCCCCTCTCAGAGTCATCCTTTGCCCAATACTCCTGTTGTTTTGATTTCTCCACCTGCAGCCCTGCCCTGCCCCAGCTGTCACCTGCCCTTCATGGTTCCTGGGCTGGATCTCCTTTGACTCCAAGTCCCCACACACCCCCACCCTGCTTTCTCTGTAGCTCAATCAAGGTGACTCTGGGGGCCCACAACATCCAGAAGCAGGAGAGGACCCAGCAGGTCATCCCTGTGAAGAAAGCCATCCCCCACCCAGACTATAATCCTAAGAACCTCGCCAACGACATCATGTTACTAAAGGTAAGGGAACCTCTCTGCTGCTCTTGCTGTCCTGGGTCCGGATTGCTTCCCCTCCTACTGGGACCTGTCCCTTCTCTCCTTCCCATCCTGGCCACTTGGCTAGTCCCAGTGGCTCATGGGAGAGGGAAGTCAGTGCAGGCCCATCATGGTGTTCAGGCCCAGGAGGGCAGTGGCTGAGCTGGACTTTCTTGACTCTTCTCATCAGCTGGAGAGAGAGGCCAAGCTGACTGCAGCTGTGAGGACCCTCAGCCTTCCCTGGGGCACAGGCCAGGTGAGGCCTGGAGAGATGTGCCACGTGGCAGGCTGGGGGAGAGTCACCCCAAATGGCATAGCACCAGACACTCTGCAGGAGGTGGAGCTGACCGTGCAGCAGGACCGGGTGTGCGAATCCTACTTACGCAATTACAACAGTAACACTCAGCTGTGTGTGGGGGATCCGAAGCAAAAGAAGTCTTCCTTTAAGGTGAGACTGGGCATCTGTCTAGGTCAGCTTTGGGGAGAGGGGTGTTTTGGAACCTGTAGACGCAAGCAATAGGGACTCCTTCACCCCCTAGACTATGATGTTTCTCCCAGGAAGAGAAGAGGGGAGCAGCCAGACTGGTGAGTCACAGGCCTTCTGGGAGCCAACCAGGGGTCTGAGATGCATTTAAACAAGGTGGTCCATCCGGAAGATGAATTTGCAACACTCTGCCCCACGCCAGGCACAGGTGTTAGAAAACTGCTCCCTGGGTGTGCAGCAGTCAAACCAGGTGGCTCCTCAGAGCTGGCTCCCATCTTGGTTAAATGGCTCACCCTCCATGCTGAGTGTAAGCCTCACCTGCCTGCTTCCATGTCCTGACATGGTAGACCAAAGCAGAGTCCCACAGCGCCCTCATGGGGAGAGGATCTGGGACCTGGGGGAGGAGAGGGAGCCACCCCCTGAGTGAAATGAAGCTGGGACAATGTCCAGGATCAGGACTGGGCAGCTGAAGGGCCCACCAGGGCCTGCCCTGCCCTCTGATCTCCCACATGGAGGCCACCCAGGCGGCCTTCACTGACAGGGTGCTTGGGATGCATGTGGGCAGGACCCGGGGGAGCATGGACTCAGTCCTTCCCACTCTCTGTCCACAGGGGGACTCCGGGGGTCCTCTCATGTGTGAGAACATGATCCAGGGCATTGTCTCCTATGGACAAAACAATGGGAAACCTCCACGGGCCTTCACGAAAGTTTCGAGTTTCCTGCCCTGGATAAAGGAAACCATGAAAAACCTCTCACTCTGGGAATGAGCCAATCTTCTCTGGAACTGATCCAGGAACACCCAGCAACTAAATAAATGTCTCTGAGCTGAGCAGGAAGGGCTGACTTCTTTATTCACTGACCCTCATTCACAGGCACCTCCTCTGTCCTTAGAAGGCCAATGGCACACAGCTGATGTTTTCTGCTTCGTCCTCTTCCCTGTCCCACCACCGCCTCCCCCAAACCTCAAGCACAGCTGTTCCCCAGCTCCTTCTGACCCACACCTTTCTCTACGCATGCCCTTCTGCCAGGGCTGCAGCTGAGGACCATCAGGAGAAAACTTGAACCTCTCTGGTCGTGTGCTCCGGGTGAACTTCTTACCTCCTTCCCTGTGTTATATGGCAGAGAGGAAGGGGGATGACACCATAGGTCCTGGACACCAAACATGCAAGCCTGAGGCTGCATCTCAACATCATAGCCACCCACACTGGGGAGGGGAGAGGCGACCTGAGCAGGACAGTTCTCTCCCACAGCCAGGGAGCTGGTAAGGAGTCAGGGTGGGTCTCTGGAGAAGCTCCTCATTCTCACCCAGCCTGAGTTTCCTCCCTGCCCTCCTGTGACCTTGGGGCCCAGCTTGGCCTCCAGTCTCCTGGCTGCCCCTTCTTCTCAATCCCTGCTTTCCACTGAGAGATCTCAATGTCCACCAACTCCTGTCCCCTCCACATAAGCCTGATCTGAGTTGGCCCCTTCCTTCTAGCCCTCCTGCCAAGGACACCCAGAGCTCAGTGTGGTTCCAGCAGGGCCTCTCCCCTGAGATGGCAGCCCAGCTCATGCCTTAGCAGAGAGTGGAACAAGGACCAGGCTTGTGCTGGCAGAAGGCGGGGTCCATGGAGGACACAGCAGGCAGGCTGTCTCTCCAGAGCCCCTGCCCCATCTCTCACCTGGTATGGTCACCTCAACCCATCACATCCAGCCCAGTGTCCCCCGAAGTGCTCAGGGTGCATTGGCCACCTGGTCACTTGATAACCTGTGTCCCTTTCAGCCTGTCCCTCTTACTCACTGCTGGCCTCTAGGCTAAGACTCCTCACTGGCCACCTAGGGCTGTCTCAGCCTTTTGAGTTAGCCCTACGCTCTCTGCAGTAGGACTGGAAAGCACCCTTTTTCCATCAATAAACAAACGCACCCTGATTGAGCTCCTAAGATCCCAGCACTGGGGATCCACAGTGGACGTAATACAGACTCTGTCATCTGATCCCGGGTGACACTGAAAGAGAGTTTCACCCAAATCATGTAACACTCTCTACCTCCTCACATGAGGCCACATGGCCTAGATCTCGTGGGAAATCCACAGGAATAAAGTACTTGTGTTGTGTTTCTATTGCTGGTCACAGTCCGTGTGAGCGTGAGCACGTGTGACTCTAGAACAGGAGGCATGGGATTTGGAAATGACATTAGTCATTTAGTTTCTAGGGGTGAAGTCACTGCACTCTGTCCACTGGAGCCTTGTCTTAACCTAGAGGAGAGGGCAGCCCGTAGGGAGGGAGAAGGGCATTGAGGACAGCCTTACATTCCTTTCCCTTTAAAGTGGGAGGTAGTGGGGCTGGCCCCAGGGCCAAATGGTTAAGTTTGCAGGCTCAGCTTCCTCAGCACAGGGTTTTGCCTGTGCGCCTCGTGGGTGCAGACATAGCACTGCTCATTAGGCCATGCTGAGGTGGCATCCCACATAGCACAACCAGAAGGACCACAACTATAATATACAACTAGGTATGGGGGGCTTTGAGGGAAAGAAGAAGAAGAAAAAAAACATGATTAGTGACAGATATTAGCTCAGGTGCCAATAGTAAAAAAAAAAAAAGGTAGCAGGTAGGAATGTCATTGTACAGATTCAGATCATGGGAAAAACTGTATTACATACTTGCCTGCAGGCAACTAGAGTCAGACTCTAAACACCCATCCAACTGGACCGGCCAGAAACATGTTCCCTGTGGTTCCTGGACCTCCTGCCTGCACTGAATCAAACCAGAATCATGGAGGTTCACATGGTCTGGAAAACTGGAGAAAGGCCTCTCCTCTTGGGGCCACTGTGGTGACTGCTGCATCCATAGTTTCCAGACCACCCTAATTTTCAACTTTAGGTTTTTGGCTTGGAACCCACACATAGAGTACGGGATCCTTTGCTGAATGAGGATCTCCCTGTCATGGGCTCAACTCACAAAACACCCCCAGCAGCCATCTCTCCAAGGGCTTTGCCGCTCGTATGGGGCACAACCTGGGAGCTGATCATACGTTCTAGCTCCGAGCTCCTGCTCCAAACACACACAGCACTACCCTCTCACCACAAGGAGTAAGTACTCTGGGATCATGTAACCCTCACAGGCACGGCCTTTCCCACCTTGTTGTGCACAAAGCAGGCAGCAACACCATCTCTTCATGACTGCGGGCACTTTCATAAGCGCAGAGCAGTGAGGACACGCAGCTTCTAATCTGGAGCTGAAAAAATATCCCTGCTTCTAATACATACTAAGAACCTGGATCCTAGATGGAAATAAACAAAAAGGAAAATGCCAAAAGCAAAACAAAAATAATATTCAAAAAATTAGCCCCGCACATGCATATTGAGTTTAGATATCACATTTACTTGAGGAAATGGTTCTGTGCTTTTGATACAAGTTTGAGGACCCTCCTGCAGGTCTTCCTCCTGTGAGAGATGAGGGAGGGACACAGTCCCAGGAGGGGGCAGTGGCCGACTGAAGGGACCACAGAGTTAGAACAGAGCCTGGACTGAGCCCAGGTGCCCTGACAGCCAGGCCAGCAAGAGCCCTGACATGTGGTCTAACCCCAGCCCTGTGATGACTTCCTGGCATCCCTGAACAAGAGCTGAGCTTCTGCTCACACACCTCCCTGGAGAGAAAACCTCTGGGCTGCTGTGCAGGCATTCTGTGACAAGGATTACAACACCTTGCTTGGTGAGCTGAAGTCTGCTCAGGGGCACATTTGGATGGAGGTGGCTCAGCACCCTAATCATGCTGATTCCTTCAAATCTCCTTTGTCTGTAGAAGTGTCCCCTGCCCCAGCCCTGCCTTTGAGGAAACAATCCTTCTGTTCCTCAAGTACCTCTGTAATGAAAATTTAAATAGAAATAAATAAAAGATCTCTGGAATGACCTCAAGGAAATGCCTCTACTCACCCAAACCCACTCGCATCTCTCCTCCTTCCCTCCAGACCCATAAGAAGAGCTGGGTCCCAGGATGGCAGGGAGAGAACGGCCAGGCCAGCTCCTCTGGGGGAGAGGCCCAAAGGAATGTGAGATCTTGCTTATTTGTTTCAGAACATGGCTGGGGATGGCTCTGCCTTCCTGCCCACCACCATACTTCCGCCACTTCCCCCTGTTATTTTCCTGTCTTACTATCCCGCACAACACTGCTTTTGTCCAACAAACATATTTCACCATAAAAGAAGTGCAGCCACTGGTTCCTTTTCGTCATAGGCCTATTACTAGACTACATTCCTCATCCACAGATTAAGGAAGCTCAGTGAACCTTGACGAGGGCAAAGGAATCCACATGTAAGCATATAACAGTCAAACTGGGAAAAACCAAAGATAGGGACCTGCCGACTGGTGCAGCAGTTAAGTTCATGCACTCTGTTTTGGTGGCCCAGGTTTTGTGGATTTGGATCCCTGGCAAGGACCTACACACCGCTTATAAAGCCGTGCTATGGCAGGTGTCCCACAAATACAAAATGTAAGAGGACAGGCACAGACATTGTCTCAGGACTAATCTTCTTCAGGAAAAAAAAATGATAAAGAGACAATGCTGAAAGTAGACAGACAGGAAAGCAATATACGTTACTTTAAGAGAAACTCCAATAAGAGTAACAATGAGTTATCATCAGAAAGGATGCAAGTCAGAAGTCACTGGCATGACATTTCTAAATAGTTGAAAGGAAAAGGCAACCTATCTGAATTCTATGCTCAGTGAATATATTATTTAAAAATGAAGGCAAAGTAAAGACATTTCAGAAAAACAAATATAGGAGAATTTGTTGCCATCAGCCCTGCACTGCAGGAAATACTAAAAGCACTTCCTCGGTTTGAACGGAAATGATGCCCATTGTAGGCATGAAGGACAAAAGAGAAATAAACACATAAAATGTGACCAAATATAAAAGATTTTATATAAATTATTTCAAAGATTAATGACTATTAAGGCAAAAATGCTTTAGGATTTATGGAATATAGTAGCCAAATGTATGACAAAAATAACTCAAAGGGTGGGAGGGAGGATAAATGGAAATACATTACTCCAGAGTTCTTATATGAAGTGGTATAACATTAATTCACAGTAGACTGTGGTATGTGAAGGAGGCATATTGCAATCCTAGTGTAACCACTAAAATATTATATACAGATCTAAGCAGAAGCCGATAAAGAAGAGAAAATGAGATATAACAAAAGAACGCAGGAAAAAAAGGACAAAAGAACAAAAAATCAACCACAGAAGTATAAACCAAATAGTAACATGATATTCTTCAATGTAACCCTATCAGTAGTTGCATTAAATGTAAGGAGATTAAACATTCCAACTAAAGGGCAGAGATTGTCAGTCTGGATAAAAACTGCAAGACAAATTTTGTGCTGTTTAGAGGAGACACTCAAATATAAAGACATGGAAAGGATGAGAGTAAAATTATGGAAGAAAAAATAAAGACATATCCTGCAACACTGATCCAAAGAAAACAGCCTTGCCCATGGAGTGTGCTCTTTAATTTTAGAATTTTTGGCCACATATGAGATGAAATAGAGTGTCTTGGTAGAATTTTTATTTCCTTTTTTTTCCACATTTTATTTCCGTTTCTCTTAACATGAGTGAGCTAAGACTTCATTATGTTTTAATTATATTTTACTGTGAACCGTCTTGTCTTTTGCCCATTCTCCTATCAGGTTCTGGATCTTTTTCTTCTGAATTTTCAGAGTTCTTTATATATTAGATAGATTAGCTCTTTAATTGTGGTATATGTTGCAATAGTTTTTCTAAATTTGCTGTCTGTATTGTGATTTTGCTGACAGTGCTTTTTGACATACAAATTAAAAAAGTTTTTATTTGTATATTG